AAAAAAAAAAAATAAATAAATAAATAAATAAATAAATATATAAACAAAAAAATGAAATAAATAAAATAAAATAAAACAAAATGGTAATGATCTGATAGGTTTGAACAAGAGTAATAGAAACAACGCAACAAAAAGTAGCAATAAAAATAATAGTAATAAAAATACTAATAATGATAAAAGTAATAATGATAGTTGTAATAATAACAGTAATAATAAAGTTAAACGAATTTACAGAACAAAGTAGTCATGCATGAAAAAAAGTACCCTTAAATGAGTTAAATAATTATCATGCATAAATGCAAACAGATTTAAAACGTGTAGATTCTGAAGAGTCGGCATAGCTAACACAACTGGAACAATAAACTACACGAGAAAAAAAATATTTAAACAATTAGTACCAATTTTGGGCATCACAGTATTGAATCAATTTCAAAGACAAATAAAAATGTTATAGAACTGATGTGTAAATTATTTATGCAACATCAACAAGGAGGCCAACCTAGCTGCTTACCTCCAAATACATGTAAATGAAGATAGTTTACTTTTTGGCAGGCATTGCGACCATTATTGATGACGACACGATATCCGCCAACGCATTCCAATTTCTTTGCAGTTTTTGCTGCGGTTAATAACAGTTTGCCCAACAGTGATTCATCCTAAAATCTTTCAATATGAAACATATATTTGCTGTACATTAAACAAATATCAAATACTGCTTTGGCTATACATTAAAAAATAAATATTCATACACATTTTTTTTTTATTGGTATTTATTTATATCTTAAATAGAGTATCAATGACAAACTTCATCTGTAGCTTTCTCAAGCATTGGAATTGGCTTTCTCGGCACCACCAAAAAATGTATCGGTGCCTGTGGCTCTGGATCAAAAAATGCAAGAACCTGGAAAAAATCTATAAATTTTTAAAATATCACTTATTTTTCTTAGAATAAATACGAGTTGCATTACTAGCTAAAAATCTAAAAGAAAAATATTAGTTTTACATGTTCATCTTCATATATAATGTTCGCTTTGATCTTTTTCTCAATTATTTGCCCATACAAAGAGTTCCGACACGAAGATTTTGATGATGCAGCAGCAGTAGTAGTAGTATTAGAAGCAGTGGTAGTGTTGCTGTTGTTTAAGGTACCTGCAGGAACAGACATTCTTCTCCGGTTTTTTTCTGTTATTCCACTGGAAGCACTAGTTTTTTGACCACCGACAGTTGTTGTTCTCAAAACTTTGCAAGTACAGTCCCGAGAAGCAACTTTTCGGTTCTTGTCTACCTGCATTTCAGATTGATCACAACTTAGTCTCCTACATCTCAAAGAAGCATCTCGACAAGAAAGAAAACTAGGTTCTAACTTCATGTCTGCCTGTACGGGAAGTAAACTTTTCTGTGAAAACTTTTCTTTAACGGGAGAAAAGGTTTGCTGGTTTCTTGAAATGCAATCACTAGTTCCCAAGTGGTTAGCTTTCGACGACATTTCTGGACCCCTGTAAGGACGTGTAAGAAAACATAGTATTGACGAAGGTGCATAATTACAACTTTTTAAATACTGACAACGAAACAGCAAAAATGCAACCAAATAAAACAAATTAAAGTCATAAAAGCTAGTTGGAAGCTTTGGCTTTAACAACAAAGCAAAATATGACTTACACTTGCAAAAAAAAGATATATTTATACTTACGGTTATGTATGTACATTCCCTTCAGTTGCCATTATTAATGTCAATTAACGTTTACTTAACGAATTACTTGAAATCATCAAATGTTGCAGGCACGGAGTAAAAAAAAATTTTAATTTATAATAACCGCATTCATGCTTTCAGTAAAAAGTCGTTCAATAATTTTTGTAACAAAAAACTATAGCCGTACACAACTCCACTGTGCATAAAAAATGTGTTCTTTTTCCTGAGAAAAGTTAATAAGTACATTAAAGTTATGTTATAAAATTCTCATAACCACCATAAAACCGTAAAACTTTTTTCACTCTAAGCTCTCACCAAACAGATTATTGCTATCCTTATCGTTTTTCTCGGCATAAAGTCCATAAAATGGGAAGGAATGAAAGATAAATCGTCCGCACAAATCTAACTTAAGATAATCAACACTAAAAGAAATTATACCAAAGACTACGAAAATCGTTACATCTGATGACAGAATTTCTCAATGTAGATCAGTGACCCCTGAATGATACCGCATTCCCTTATTTCCTTGCTTCATAGAGGTAATAGACGATTCTTCGGGAATAGAAGCTCTTGAAGCAATAAAAGGGTGACGAAAGCATTGAATGACTGTTGGGTGACTTGAACAATGGGCCGTCCGACAGATGTAATTATAAATTTTTTGGTCCAGAAGGAAGCAACGAGAAAAAGTTTAAGAAAACTGTCGCACAGTCTATACAATCCTTTGAATGAAGAAACAAATGCTAATGATGGACTTAGACAAATCTAAAGTCTAAAGGTGCCGTGAAAAGAACTCAAATCATCACCGTAAGATCATCCGAAAGGCTTCCAAGTTCGCTGTTATCGTCATTTTCAAGGCAGAAAATATCAGAAATACGCTTCCAAACAAAACAAGAAAAAACAAATTAATCATTTTTCTAATTATCCGAATTGAAGCTTCAGAAAGGACCTAAGAGCGGTTACTGAAAAATAGACAGCTTGCTAGCAAACGAACTTGAATTGACAAACAACCCGTAAAAAAATCATTCGTAGCCGTTTAACTTTCTAGAATTATTTTATGCTTTTCAAGTGCCAATTTCGATAGAACTTGAAGAACTTAATTGACTGTGATTCAATTACAGAAAAACGAGCAACAGGCTTCGGTAAACAGCTGCAAAAAATTGCTGCAGAAAAGATATTCCTTAAAATGTAGCTCACTGATTGCCAATCAGTAGATTTAATTGCAACTATAACTAAAAAAATCATTTGTATCAAAAACCGCTTCGGTTTCTGATAGGTTTACATTTCTGCACATCTAATTTCCAAGAAAAAAAAAAAAAAAACTGGGACTTGCGATTGTGAACCAGTCCTTTACATATCTAAGCCGACTCAAACGCCACCACCCTAGAAATTTCCTTCCATAAAGAAAGTTACTACTCCACAAAAAAATTCTTCTGGAGCCTTCTTTTCCGTATTGCTCTATAAACGTAGCAAATCTAGCTAGAGTGAACGAAATTAATTTTGAGAAGAGAATGACTGCAATAAAACAACCTTCAATAGAGAAAATCTTCTTTCTCGAACTTCAAGCAAGTCATTTGCAGACTCTCAAAGATTACACGTTCCCATGCAGGTAAAACCAATTTATCCCTATTCAGTGAAACTCAATTTCAGGATCAATCCCTAAAGTGACATACTTTGGACTTCGCACATCGCAGTACAACTGAACAAACCTAAAAAGATTTTTGATAAACAGAGTAAATTAAATAACAATAATATAAACTTAAAAATGTAAAGAAAGTTTTAAGTGATCTGGTAACTACCCTGCTAAAAAAACCCTGATCTATTGTCACAGTCCTCAGGTTTTATACAATAGCTGAAATTGAACTAGCACGATTTTCTCATCCACCCCCATCTTTCGCACAGTCACAAGAAAAACATTCAAAAAAACTTCAAGCAGAGTAGGAAAATCCTTGCCCAAAATATATGCCTACAATTCATTTTCGAAAAGGTGCTCACACCCTGAAAAAAATCACAGTAATGACAAATGCAATATCAGTAAAAACAGGGCCTAACACGCTAGTGGTAAGGGACTTCATAGCAATGCTTTCTAAAACAGGCCACACTGAAAAGTCAGCTGCGTACGAAGAAAATTTAAACTGGTAGTTCCATCCGGTCAAACCTAAGAATTTATTTCGCTAAGATCAGTGATGAATGCTTCATCCATCTGATGCTACAATTATTAATTTTTTTCAAAAGTTTTGCAGCTTAAAGGAAATATAAATTTACCAAGACTGACTTCCTAACGCAATTTAGATTTTGTCTTCTGATTTATTCAGTGATATCTATAAACTCTTTCAAGTAGTAAGATACTGCATGCAGGTACGTCATTTTGCGAAAATTAATTAGAACAGTGGCAGCCGTTAACAGTAAAAGTCGGTAAACTCTTCCTAATAGAGGAAAGGCCAAAGTAGCATTCAAGGTCTACCTCAAAGATATTTTATCAGCTATTTAAAAAGTAAATTACAAATGAGACCAATGAGGTGAAAGTTTTAGCTACCCACTAAATACTTAATCCAGACGCTTTCCATTCACTGTTGTAAATTACAGCCGTCTTTCAGTCATCCAAAAGGAAGCAATTTCGTATTCTGCACAGAACTTCTGTAAAAATTGTTTACAACCTTTAATCTTATGCAACAAATTCTTTGTTACATAGTAATGGTTGTTTCCAGCCTTTAACAGTAGATCAAATCCAAAATAATTCAAACAGTTCAAACCGTACTCCTCATAAACTCATTCTTAACCACTTGTACACGAACAAAAAATACCAGCAATGGAAACTCTAACAAACGCTAGTAGGAGAGCTGTCAATA